CACTGCCAACCCGAGAGATGGCAGAGGGGTTGGCAGTGGTACGGCAGTGGTACGGCAGAGAGTTGGGAACGAGTTGGCAGTTGGTTGGCAGAGGGGTTGGAGGCGGGTTGGCAGTGGGTTGGCAGTTGGGCTGGCCGTGGAAATCTCGTTCGCCCCTCATCCGTGCGATCCCTATCGCATTCGGTAGCTCTCCGTGCCTCGTTTGCCACCCCTACCATGACTCACATCACCCCACTGCCGACATGACGGGGATCCACTGCAAACTCGAGGAGGGTGGAAGAGAGGTTGGCAGTGGGTTTGTAGGGGGTTGGCAGTGGGTTGGCAGCGAGTTGGCAGTGGAATGGCAGTGGGGTTGCAGTGGCTTTGCAGTGGGGTGGCAGTGGGTTGGCAGTGGGTTGGCAGTGGGGTTGGCAGTTGGTTGGCAGTGGCATGGCAGTGGAGTTGGTAGTGGGTTGGCAGTGGGGTCCCCGGCGGTTGACAGTGGGCCCCCTCGGGGGCGGGACAACCGGCGGGTTGGCAGGTAGAGCCCCCCTGGGTTTGACAGTGGGCCCTCTCGAATTGACAGCAGGCCCCCAGCGGGTTGGCAGTGGGGACACCTTCGGGCTGGCAGTGCGGTCCTCCAGGGCTGACAAGGGAGCGCGCCCTACTCAGCCTGACAAGGGAGGGGCCCTGCTCGCCCCCCTGCCTCAGCCGTACACGGTCGGCCAGCGAGGCAAGAGCCCTGGGAGGACGTGAGTCCAAAGGGGTGCCCAGTAGGCGGAGCGCCTGTTCTCGCTGGAGCGTGCACGCCCTGTCTGCGCCGTCGTCTGGCGGCCGGCGTCGTCGTCGCTGCCGTGGAGCGTGCTGCTCCGCTCGGGACTTGGTTCACCTCGTGCAGTAACCGCCACCATGCGCTATAGCCACCCCTCCCTCATCCCGGCCCAGCCCCGGTCGAGTACGACGAGCCCTGGCCGCGACGTAATCGACCGGGGCTGGGCCGAACCCCAACCCATATCTCCGACGTCACTATTTGTTCATCACGTCGACCCCCAAAGGTCTGAGAGAGCACGTTTCACGGGCGCTTACCTTGGGAACATTCGGCTGCGCGTTTCGAAACCGGGGGGTGAGCCCCCCGTAAAAAAAGTGAACGCCCCAGGGGTCCGTTCCCGTTCCCGTTCCCGTTCCCGTTCCCGTTCCCGTTCCCGTTCCCGTTCCCGTTCCGTTTCCGCTCTCTCTTTCTCTCTCTCTCTCTCTCTTTCTCTCTTGTTCTCTCTCTCTCTCTCTCCTTCGCCCTCTCTCTCTCTCTCGCCCTCTCTCTCTCTCTCTCTCTCTCCCCCTCCCGCTCTCTCTCTCTCTCTCTCTCTTTCTCTTGCGTCCAGGGGGTCCCTGGTCCCTGGTCCTGGAACCGCATATCTCCAAATCTTGCAAAAGCCATAAGAACATCAATTCGCCGGCCCAACGGGCCAGAGGCGTGCTAAGATCTCCGGTAACTGGTTAACAATTCTCTAGTTCGCGCGCGCGGGGCGGCCCCTGGGGGTCCCCGGACGAAAAGTACCCCGACCAGGTCCCGGCCGGTCCCCGGCCGGGTCCCGGCCGGGTCCCGGCCGGGTCCCGGCCGGGTCCCCCCGAGCGCCCCATGAGCGCACCAACAGGGCTCCGAAAACGTCCCCGAGGACCCAAACAAAACCAAGAGGCCCCCAAGAGGCCCCCAAGATGGTACACGAGGGGTCCGACATGCCACAAGATCGCTCCAAGACGCCCAAGATGGCCCCCAGACGCCCCAAGAGGCCTCCAAGAGCACTCCCAAGAGGGCCTCCGGAGGCAAAATTCATTGATTTTCCTTAGGTTTTTGAGAGATTTTGGAGCTTCCACCTTTTCGGCTTCCCGACGCCCCAAGACGGCCCAAGAGGCCCCCAAGATCGCCCCAAGAGGGCCCAAGAGGCCCCCAAGAGGGCCCCAAGATGGCCCAAGAGGGCTCGAAGACGGCCCAAGAAGCCTCCAAGACGGCCCAAGAGGGCCCCAAGAACGCCCCAAGAGAGGGAACACGAAACAACATGTCCAGCCCTCGGCCCCAAGAAGCCCCTCCGAGGCCCCAAGAGGCCCCTGAGAGGCCCCAAGAGGCCCCGACGAGGCCCTCAGGAGGCCCCCAAGAGTCCCCCAAGCGGCCCCAGGAGGCCCCCCAAATGCCCCCCCGAGCGCCCCAGGAGTCCCCCAAGCGGCCCCAGGAACCCCCAAAGCGCCGCATTGACACCAGGCCCTCGGGCAAACGGCAGACATGAGACTGTATGGGCCGGCGGAATGAGCGAAGCGATTAAATAATTGCAGGCCCTTTCCACCCTGAAAGGGGGATCAAGAGGGAGGCCCCAGAAAGGCCGCGGACGCTTGGAGGCTTGTTGGGCTCTCTTGAGAGGCCTCGCAGGGGCCTCTTAGAAACATGCTTCAGGTTTCTTTGGGGCCCGTTGGGGGCTTCTTGGGACGTCAGGGGGATGTCTTGGGGGTCTCCTGGGAGTTCGCTGGCGGTCTCGGAAGGTATCTGTCAGTCGCCTACGGCGAATCATCGCCGCCCCTGGCCTTTTGGAAACGCCTATGCGGCCAAGCGTTGGCGCAAAGTTTGGCCAAGGTGTTGGACCTTGTGTTCCCCCAGCCGAAGTGTGGCCATCTTGAGTCCGTCTTGGAGGCCATGCTGGCCGTCCTGGAGGCCATACTGGACCATCTCAGCAGTCTTGAATGCCATCTCTTACGTTTCTTGGGCCATCTTGGAGGCAAACTTATCCGTCTTGGAGACAATATTTGCAGTCGTGGAGGCCATCCCCAGCCTAGCCCAACCCACCCAGCCAGAAGTTTACAGAGGAATGCAGTAATGGTTATGTTGATGCACTCGTATATATACAGGATGCCCACCAACAGAAATAACAGGAGAAACATCAAACAGCTAAGGGAAACCAGACCTTTCCGTAGCCAGTGTGGCTCAAGTTTTGGCTATGCAGTGATGCTGATGGTGAGGCTGCTACTGATGTCGCTGTCGCTGATGGTGTGCGGTAGGATGATGTTGCTGATGATGATGCTGGCGATGATGATACCCATGATGATGATGATGATGATGATGATGATGGTGATGATGATGAGTATGAGTATGAGTATGAGTATGAGTATGAGTATGAGTATGAGTATGATGATGATGATGATGATGATGATGGTGATGACGATGACGATGAAGATGGCGATGATGACGGTGATGGTGATGATGAGGTTTCTGATACTGGACATGATGATGATGATGATGATGATGATGATGATGATGATGATGATGATGATGATCCCTCCCTCCCTCCTCCCTCCCTCCTCTCTCCTCCTCCCTCCTCCCTCCATCCCCCCTTCTCTCTCCTCCTCCCTCCTCCTCCCTCCCTCCTTCTCCCTCCTCCTCCCTCATCCCTCCCTCCGTCCCTCACTCCGTCCCTCCCTCCGTTCTTCTCTCCTCTTCCCTCCTCCCTCCTCCCTCCGTCCCTCCCTCCCTCCTCCCTCCCTCCGTCCCTCCCTCCCTCCTTCTCTCTCCTCCTCCCTCCTCCCTCCCTCCTCCGTCCCTCCCTCCCTCCGTCCCTCCCTCCCTCCGTCCCTCCCTCCCTCCTCCTCCCTCCTCCCTTCACCCTCCCTCCATCCTCCCCTTCTATCCTCTGGAAGTGGCACGGGCGGCGGGAACGGGAACGGGAACGGGAACGAGGACGGGAACGGGAACGGGAACGGGAACGGGAACGGGAACGGGAACGGACCCCTGGGGCGTTCACGCGCCTTTACGGGGGCCCCCCCCCCAACACTCGGCGCCGTCGATCAAAACCAGGGGACCCCCTCCCCCCAAACCACCCCCTCCCGAACCCCCCCCCTCTCCGAAGAGGGGAGGGGAGGGTTTCACCCCCCCCCCCCTCGGCGCTGGCGGCCGCCAGCAGCGCCGACGGCGGGGACGTAGCGACGACGGTCAGAGGCAGCCCACGGAGGGGAATGGGGGGTTCAAACCCCCCCGTGGCGCCCGCGCCGGCGCCGGCGCTGGCGGCGGCCAGCAGCGCCGGCGCTGGCGCTGGCGACGGCGGGGACGCAGCGGCGATTACCACCTCTACCACCACCACCACCACAATTGCCACCACCACCACCGCCTCAACCCACCACCAACAACAACAACCCACCACACAACCACCACCACCACCACCACCACCACAGCCACCACCACCACCACCACAACCACCACCACCACAACTCGCCACCAACACCACCACCACACAAACCCACCACCACTACGACCACCACCACCACAATCTACCACACCACCACCACCACCACCACCACAACCACCATCACTACCAGCAGCACAACCCACCACCACAAACCACCACAACACCACCACCACCACCACCGCCACCACCACCACCACCACCACCACCACCCTCACAAACCACCGCCACCACCACAAACCACCACCACCACCACCAAACCACGACCACCACCACCACCACAACCCACCACTACCACAAACCACCACCACACCACCACCAAACCACCACCACCACCAAACCACCACCACCACCACCACCAACCCACCACCACAACCACCACTACCACAACAAACCACCACACCACCACCACCACAACCACCACCGCCGCCACCACCACCACCACAACCCACCACTACCACCACCACCGTCGTCCTCGTCGACGCTCCCCGCCGCCGCCGCCCGCCGCCGCAGGCGCAGGCGCCGCCCCAGAAAAAGAAATCGTCGTCCCCGCCGCCACCGCCAGCCGCCGCCGACGCACGCGCTGGCCCGAGGAGAGAGGAGAAGGAGGGGGGGGGGGGGTTCGAACCCCCCCCCGTCACAGGAAGGGGGGGGTGGGTTCGAACCCCCCCTCCCCCTCCATCCAGAGAGGGGGGGGGGTCCGGTTCCAAACCCCCCCCCCCTCCAAGCGACCACAGAACGCGCTCTTTCAAAGGTCTCGACCCCAACCCCAGGACCAGCTTTTTATCCCAGCCCGCGGTCCAGCTGGCCGTCGGGGCGGCGGGAGTACCACAGGATGGCCAGCCCCTTCCGCGGCACGATGCTCAGGCCGCGCCTGGACATCGGCGGATTCAGCTTGGCGCCGCGGCCCTCGAGAAGGTCGTAGCCATCTATGTACTCCGCCTCGATGCCTGATGGCGCTATAAGACGTCTTTGAGGGAGCAAGCAATGGGGTGGGGCAAGGAGAAGCAGGACAATAATGGAGCTTACGATGGCATCTACCCTCATATTCGATTACGCATTGCTTTGACACAGAAGTGGTGCTGAAAACTTGCGGGCGAACAACATGATACACGAATGGCGGGTTCTTCACGACTGCCCGTCTTGTGACAACGTCGGATGTGGTGGGGGAAGGGGGAAGGGAAGCAGAGGCGAACGGAGAATGTGATTTGGGGGGGAACGGTGTAAGAGGGGGGGGCACAGGGACAGGAAGGGGAGGAGAGGGGAGAGGGGGGAGAGCGGAGAGGAGGAGGTGAGACAGGTGTCCCGCGGCCGCCAGGCGTATGTTCAAATCCGCTGCTCCTCTCCTCCTTCTCATCCTTCTCATCCTTCTCCTCTTGCGCGTGTAGTGCGGACGAGTATTGCTGTCCGCTGCTACCTCTGGCGCCTGGCTGGGCGGGACACCTCCACCTCCTCCTCCTCCTCCGCCCCTCCATCGCAGTCGTCGTGCCATTCCCCTCCGAGACACGTTTGGGCGATCATATTGGTGGCATGGCCCGTGCCCCCTGTGTGAGGGCCGCCGTTCATGCCGTTCATCGCCAGCGTAGTCACCCTCTGCCTAGCCGCCGAAGCTAAAGTGTGAGGGCCGCATGGCGGCCCCAGCTTCTGGCGATGGCCGCTAGCTGGAAAGGGTGTTAACACATCGAGCAGCCGCTCCAGGCTCTGCCACCACTGCTGCCGAGTCGCCGCTGTTCCACGCATCAGCCGCTGCAGCGGGCTGGGAATTGACGGCAGCGGCCCCAGTGATGCGAAAACGTCCACATCGGATGCTTTCTCTGCCCGAATTCGCAATGCATGGCCCACTGTTGAGTTCGAAAGGTGCGGCATGCTGATCCTAACTCTTCCGGGTTTCCCACAGCGGGTCATGCAGCCCAGTTGTCATAAGAAAGCTCATGACATGCACACATGCACACATTGGTATACATACATGCAGGCCGAGTCAAACGATGGGCTGAATATAATGATATGCGTATGCATATACACTGTTCTGTGTATACGTTGTACCTGTACATGTGTGTACACGCCTACCTATGCGACCACCCTTCGGGTGATAAGGAGGTTCGGGGGGGAACCAACGTCTCACTCGATCGGTCTCACTATCGATCTCACTATCGATCTCACGATCGGTCTCGCTCGATCGATCTCACTCGATCGATCTCACAATCGATCTCACTCGATCTATTTCATTCGATACATCTCACAATCGATCTGACTATCGATCTCACAACCGATCTCACTATCGATCTCACTATCGATCTCACAATCGATCACTCGGTCTCACTATCGATATCACTGTCGATATCGCAATCGATCTCACAATCAACGTCAGCATCATGATCAGCATCAACATCATCGTCATCAACGTCATCAGCATAATCATCATCATCGGGACACCACCATCATCATCACCTCATCACAATCATCATCAACATCAGCATCATCACCATCGTCATCATCGGGACACCATCATCGTCATCATCATCAACATCATCATCATCGGGACACCATCATCATCATCTTCATCAACGGAACACCACCATCATCATCATCATGATCAGCATCATCTCATCATCCTCATCAGCATGAACAACATCATCAGCATCATCAGCATCGGGACACCATCATCATCATCAGCAACATCATCATCATGAACATCATCATCATCGGGACACCTTCGTCATCGTCACCATCATCATCATCATCATCATCATCACCATCATCATTATTGGGACACCATCATCATCATCATCAACATCAGCATCATCACCCTCATCGGGCCACCATCACCAAAATCACCATCATCACCTCATCATCATCCTCATCATCAACATCATCATCAGGACACCATCATCGTCCTCATCATCAACATCATCATCACCGGGACACCATCATCACCATCACCATCAACAGCATCAACATCAACCTCATCATCATCATCGTCATGGGGACACCACCATCGTCATCTTCATCATCATCCTCATATCATCGTCAGCATCATCAGGATCATCAACATCGTCTGAATCACCATCGGGACATCATCATCGTCAGCAGCATCATCATCGACATCATCAACATCATCATCATCGGGACACCATCATCATCACCACCATCACCATCATCATCATCATCATCAACAACATCGTCAATATCATCATCATCATCATCTGGACACCATCATCATCTTCACCATCACCATCATTATTATCATCATCATCAACAACAACAACATCATCGGCATCATCAACTTCATCATCATCAGCATCATCATCATCATCATCATCATCATCGTCATCATCATCATCGGGACACCGACGGGACACCGGCGGGACACCGCGCCCCAGCGGACGCCGGAAGGAAGTCATTTGGTCCGGCCGCGCCTCAGCCACAGCGGGACACCGGCGGGACACCGCGCCCCACCGGCCCACGGAAGGGAGTCATTTGGTCCGGCAGCGCCTCAGCCACAGGAGACTTTCTTCTCGCCCGCCCACGCAGCTTCGCCTCGCCCGCACGCACGGCACGCACGAACAGAAACCGATTTCCCGGTAGGGGGGCTCTCCGTTCCACTTCGATCTCACCCCCTCACCTCCGATGTCTAATCAAAATGCGCACTGCAACCGAACCATGCTTGCAGTACCAGCCCTTTGTAGTTTTGATTATAGATCTGTATTTGTGTGTATTTATATATACACATGTGATAGAAAAGGTGGGGAACAGAAAGACTGGTGATGGGCCCAATCCGATGCAGATGCGTACAGCGCAGGGAGTGGTCCTCTCGTCACACGTTGCGCTCTGCGGGAAGAATAAAGTTCAGGAAATTGCAGACGCGCAATGAGCTCCCTCTGAGGCCCAATCCGCTGGAGATGTGTTACGACATGAGCCGGGGACCGCAAGCGAAAGCTCCCGCTGAGGCCGTAAACTGAGCTCCGTGTGGGACACGATCCGAAAACGGGGTGTGCCGAAATGGGCGGGGAGGCCGACACACACTGAGGCCGTCGGTGTGGCACCCTATGTGGAACCCTATGTGGCACCCTTCACTGCCGTAAGTGGGGCACCTCATGTGGCGTGAGATGTGCGAAGGGTGCACCGACGTGGGCTGGGGAATGCGTGCAAGCCCGCTGGACTGTAAAGCGGAAGCCCACAGCGGGCACGGTCATTGTGAGGGGTGTGCCGACATGCACTGGGGCGGCATGCAGAGTGACCACTGGGGCCGTAGGTGTAGCTCCGTGCGGGGCGCGACACTGGTGAGGGGTGTGCTGGAGAAGAGATGCAGGGCGGCATGCGCGCTCCATGGGGCCGTAGCTCCTGCGTCAGGGATGGATGTGCCAGCATGAACGCGGGGCCGAAAATAAAACGCACCCACTGGGGCCGCAGGGGGAGCTCTTCGTGGGGCGCGAAGCGCGTGAGGGGCGTGTCGAAATGGGCGCGGGGCGGCATGCGCACGTCTAGTGGGGCCGTAGGTGGAATTCCCCCTTGGGGGCACGAATCGCGTGAGGGGTACGCCGAAGTGAGCGCGAGGCGGC